AGGCACGTATCTAAAACAAATAAACTCAGCAACAAAAATAATTAGTAATATCATTATAATTAATTATTATAATTAAAATTATCCTACGCTCTTTAACCTTCTCAGTCCCTACCTACTGCGAGATCCCGCCAAAACTGTACATGTTGGTGCTCCTCATTTACGTGCATATATATGTACATTACTGCATTCTTCTAGCAGCACAGTGCGCATGCGCGAAAACGCGACTTCGCAGCAACACTGCCCAATATATGTGTTTTATATATTGGTTGAAGTGTGCTAAGGCCAAAGCACAGATTTTTGACTTTTTTTTATAACGCATAAAAAAACGCATAAGACATAAGAAAATCAACCAATTCAGTCTTCCATTTTCATCTCTACTTTTTGTTTTAGAAGGCTTTGATTGGTTGATTTACTTATGTTTTATGCGTTATGCGTTATGCAAAAGTTTGTGCTTCGGTTTAAGGCCATCGCCCATAAAATTACTTAAGATTGTAAAGCGTAGCCGTAAGAAAATTGACCAATCAGAATGTAAAGTATGTCGCCATCACTTTTGGACGTAAATTTCTGATTGGTCAATTTTTTTACGGTTGCGTCTTAAGTAATTTTATGTGTGAAGGCCATTATACAGTATCATTTGTGTACTTTATTGGAAACACTCGGAAATTACTCAAAAAACGTAAGCATATTTATCAACCAATCACAGTCAAGCAATAAGGCTGTTACTGCTCGACTGTGATTGGTTAATTCGCTTACTGTTTAAAGCTGCGTTCCGATATTCACTGCTAGTCTGGAAATGTAGAGCACATGTGATGTAAAGTATAGATTTTCAGTACTGGCAGTGAACATCGGAACGCAAACAAAGTCTTATTGCTTATATTTGTATGTGCCACAACTCTAAAGAGCCGTCTACAATGGAGAGTTGTAGGCCGTAATAGTAAGAAATTGGCAAATCACAATCGATTATTCTTCTGTACTTTGTCTGTGATTTGTCAATTTCTTACTGTTACGGCCTACAACTCTCCATTGTAGACGGCTCTTTAAAGGGCCGTCTACAATGGGAGTAAGCAGTATAGAGTAAGAAGTAAGGTTCTTGGAGGTATTTCATTTTTGTCTATACAAGTAATTGGGTGCGTTCAGACAACTCAACAGTTGCACAACGGTTGAGAGATAATCACTTCTGATTGGATCATACTTTTGGAACAGCAGCAGATTTTGAAGAATAGTCCTATCATAAATGATTATCTCTCAACCGTTGAGTTGTCTAAACGCACCCATTATTTCGCATTTTTTAACACACGTCTTTCATTGGCTAACAGTAAGGCAGTAGTCAGTGCAAAATGGGAAAAGAGAATTGCTCATTTCGTTATTCCCGTTGTTTCTTCACCGAAAAATTACTTTACTCTTTATTCCTTACTACTTTTATTGTAGACTAACTATAAAGGATCTTCTACAATAAGATATTAGTAATAATAAATTAGAAGATATTAGTAATAATAAGTCAGAAGTCAGAAGCACTGAACTATAATATGGAACGCGCCTTTTATTGTTCGAGCTATCCGCGATAGAAAGCATCACAACTAGGATCTCTGTCTTTGTCTCGTCGTCGCTGATTGGTTGAAATTTATACGAGTACAGTCTAAGACAAAAGAACAACGAAAAGTAAAGAATGACTGCATTTAGCAGAAATCAGCGCTCAGCAATTGCTAATACGCAGTCATTGGGTGTGTTTAGCCGAAGTTAGCGCTACGTAGCGGCTTCATGTAGCAGTTGCAATTGCTGCGTTACTTCTGCTGGACAGTATTGCTACGCGCAGCGCTTTTTGTAAGCGCAAATATGTTTGTATACAAATCGCCGTTGTATTCTTCGGTTGCTAAACTGTGTTTTTTAATTAATTATAAAAATGGCAAAAAAAGTGTCAAAGTATTATAATTGGGACGGTATTATTGTAAATGGCGGCCACTACTTAGAACATGCTGCGCGTAGCAATACTGTCAAGCAGAAGTAACGCAGCAATTGCAACTGCTACATGAAGCCGCTACGTAGCGCTAACTTCGGCTAAACACACCCATTCTTTACTTTTCGTTGTTCTTTTGTCTTGGACTGCACTCGTAAGCGCTGATTTCTGCTGAACGCAGTCATTCTTTACTTTTCGTTGTTCTTTTGTCTTAGACTGTACTCGTATATATTCAACCAATCAGCGACGACGAGACAAAGACAGAGATCTTAGTTGTGATGCTCTCTATCGCGGACAGCTCGAACATGGAAGGCGCGTTTATGCGTATAATTTAGCTTACACTTTGAGTAAATTCGTGAGCGTAAGTTGCGTTCACATTGTCCAATCGCATTATGGTTATATCTAGCAAATCGACCAATACGACAGAACATCGTTTTTCACCAAATCCAATCTTACGTTCGTTATCATTGCAAGCGCCAAGTAGAACTTTTTTTGAAAAATAGCGAGAGAAACTGTGTTTACAAATTTATTACTTTTATTATTTTTTATTTGTTAAAGTGTAATACAATGAATAATGTAATAACATGTGGGATGTTTTTGACAATCATTGGTTTAGCATATTGTACAAAAAAGAAAAAAGTCGCAAGAAGAAAAGGTCGGTGGAGTGTACGTCCAAGAAATAAAAAAAGAATACGTAAAGGACATTTTCATAATTTGTTTTATGACATGAAAAGAGTTGATAAAGAACTGTTTTTAAAATATATTAGAATGTTGCCCGAATGTTTTTATAAATTATTGGATCTTATTCAACANAAACTAGTCAAGTGCAACATTCACAACACAATACTTCCTGAACAAAGACTTGTTATTACATCATTGTAAGTATAAATATTATAAGAATTATACAAGATTGATTATTTTACGTATCAGAAAGTCATTTTTAAATATAATGTTTTATATGTTATTTGTAACTTCAGTTATCTAGCACAAGGCTGCANTATGCAAGTAGTAGCATGGTCGTTTCTGATAGGAAAAGCAATTGTATCAATAATCGTTCGTGAAACTTGTGCAGCTATTTGGGAAGTTCTTTCTCCTATTTGTTTAAAAACACCAACAATCGAAGATTGGCAAGAAAAGAGTAAGGAATTTTATGAACAATGGAATCTTCCCAACTGTTGTGGTGCTATAGATGGGAAGCACATAACTATTCAGGCTCCGAAGAAATCTGGAAGTGCTTATTTCAATTATAAAAAAAGATTTACCATCGTACTTTTAGTGGCGTTGTGCGTTTAGGTCAGCAGCGATAGTGGACAGCAGCAGTGGTGATAGCAGCAAAAAGGATGGCGGCCGAGGTGTGATTCTTTTAGTGAAGATCGGTGTTCCAAAAATTAGGTTTTTATTCCGAGGTATTTACAGATTATTTACAAGGTATACTTGGCTCTGATAAGAGCCGGTTTGTATAATTGATTGTGCCGGATTTCTCCGTCGGGTTCTGCGATGCCGTGATCGATCTCGTCTGCTGCGAGAGTGAGCTCTCCTGGTACTGGGCGATCGATGTCTGGAACGGCTTCTTTCTCTATGCTGCCGCTTCTTCTCCGGTTTGCACTGCGGGATGATTTCGCCGGTGATCTCGGTCTGTACTGCTGTAGAGATAGTTTTCCGCGGCGATCGTTTCCATTCACTGTCGCTCGACTGCGTGGACTGCTCTTTATATACCAGTCGTTCTTCCTGCACCCCTCTATGTACGCGAGGTAGGGGAAGTGTCTGCGTCGACTTGTGAATCCTCTGGCGTGGAGGAGAAAATATCGGTAATATGAGCGGTGGAAGAACCAGGCTGTCTCTAGGCGACGTGTATCTCCGGACCCTGATGTCCCACTGTGCCAGCAGGGCTCTAGGAGGCCGCGTCCGCCGAGGCGAGGGTATGTTGTGAGGTCGGAGTATCCACGGCCGGAACGATTCTTCTATTGGTCCAGTGGATTCCGCTTTCTGATTGGCTGCCTCTGGTTTCGCCACTCCAAATGGTTCCGAGATGAAGACCGCTCCGAGGTGTACCCCTGGGGATCGTGGAGGCGTTGGCCTGGTTATCTGGACCGCTGGAGCGTTGTTAGGTGCTTCGGGATTAATGCTGCTGGTCTCCTGCTTCGGCGCCGCTCACTGTTCGGCGATAGATATGCGCCGAGCGGGTCCATATATGTAGACGCCGCGGCAATAGGTACTTCCGCGCGACACTTGCGGTCATGCGCCACGTAGCGACGGCGCGCGAACTGCGCGTCCTGCCGTACGTAACTTTATTTTTTGGTGGTGGTCTTTTTGACCGCCACAGTACTGATGGCTGTTTGTGATGCCAATTATATATTTACACTTGTCGACATTGGAGCTTTTGGTTCACAAAATGATGCAGGTGTTTTTAACGAGTCAACCTTTGGACGAGCACTGGAATGCGGCATAATATAGTTACCAACAGATTCCTTATTGCCGAATACAAATACTATGGTTCCACATTATTTTGTAGGAGATGAAGCTTTTCCANTAAAATCTTATATCTTGAGACCTTATCCAGGGAAGAATTTACATATACAGAAAAAAATTTTTAATTATCGTTTGTCAAGAGCACGACGAACAATTGAAAGTGCATTTGGCATTCTGTCATCAAGATGGCAAATATTACGAAATAATATTATTGCTGAAGTAGAAACTGTCGAGAAAATTGTTGCGGCTACAGTGTGTTTACATAATTTTTTACGTATTTCTGAAAAAGAAATTTCTATGCACGAAAGAGCATATTGTCCAACATCTCTTATTGATGTAGTTCATCCCGATTGAAATATTATACCAGGCATTTAGAGACAATCATATGGATAGTTTTAAAAGAATTGGACGCTTAGGATCAAACAATCTTTCCAGAACTACGAGATAAGATGGCAAACTATCTTTCTAGTGAAGGAGCAGTTTCTTGGCAATGGGATTATATTTTTAGAGGATATAATCCATAATCAATATTTCCAAGGTTTTTATAAAACAGAACAGCTGTGTAAAATAATTTTTTGACATACTGTTTACATACAATAATAATATATTTGTTATCATTAAAAACTATTTATTTTTCAGAAGGACTGATAAGAAAGACTTTATATATATATATATATATATATATATATAAGCTGGGATATATAATATATGAGATATAATTCATAATCAATATTTCCATTGTTTTTATAAAACAGAACTGTTTAAGGTAATTTGTAATTTTTTATGACACACTGTTTTTATATACTAATAATATATTTCTTATTATTAAAAATTACTTTATTATTTCAGAAAGACTGACAATTTTATATAAGTGACATTATCCCAATTGCTTTTTCTTTAAATTATGCTATTATGTCAAAGTTGAGTATACGTATAATAATATAAATATGCACTATGTATATTAATATAAGTAAATACTATATATATAAATAAAAGTAATGTAAATAAATAAAGAGTAATATAAATAAATGATAAGAATTGAATACATAATAAGAACTTATGCATTATCTATAAAAATTTATGTATTATTTTATTTCTTTATATAAAAATAAACTATATTTTACAGTTATTATTATACATCTTCTTAATATAATGTACTCTATTATATAATATACTTTATTATATTATTTAAATAGTATTATATTAAATTAACGTATATTTTTTATTATAAACACAGTTTTATTAACAAACATTATTATAAACATTTTTATAAACTCTACTGTGTATATCTGGAAATTACTTGCATAATCTCAATTTTACAAATTATTAAATCTTTTTTACTAAGATTTTTTAAGTCTCCATACAAAGAATCACAAAAATATTTTAAAGAATCGTTTACTGCATTTAGAGTATTTTTTTTTTTTTTTATCTTCAACGTCGGAAAATAGCTTTCTTTTTTGATTTTTAAATCTCTTTGGATCAAATGTGTTTGGTGTTATGAGTCTCTGTGGTGTAAATGTGCTTGGTGTTGTGGATCTCTGTGGTGTTGATGTGTTTGGTGTTGCGGGTCTCTGTGGTGTAGATGTGTTTGGTGTTGTGAGTCTCTGTGGTGTAAATGTGCTTGGTGTTGTAGGTCTCTGTGAATCCAATTTTTGCAATTTCCAGGAAGAGTTTGATTCATCTTCTGTTATAATATTTCCAAACGTTCGTTGTTTTTTAACGACAGAATGTAAAAATGCTAAATACTTCATTAATGACCATTCTGTTTGCAGACCTGATCCTGAAGGAGATTCTTTAGCTCTTTCTTTAGAAAATCTATTCCGTAATGCCAACCATCGATTAATACAATCAGCAGCTGAAATAAAATATTAGTGCATTTATATTATTATTAAGTTAACCTAACTTAACCAAGCTTTTTTACTTGCCGTATTTTGTATATTTTAATTAAGTAGTATATTTTATTTACTTTATTCTAAATTTTATATTATACTATTTTTATATTGTGTATGCGTGCATGTGCAATGTATTACATTATAATATGTATTTACCTGGTATTTTTAATTCTCCACTTATAAATTGCCACGAATTATCCACAACCGTCCGGTCTTTATATTTTACATATTTTTTATCGTGTAAGTGTGGAAATCGTTCCACTAAAGTTATTAAGTGTATATCTGTCTCCATGTCTTCATTGTTTCGCGCTGTTTTTCACATGTCCACATCTTCCGCTTGCATTACGCCGTATGGCCGTATTCCCTTAAAGTTAAAGTTGAGTTAGGCCTGGTTTATGCAAGCAATAACTGTTAACTTATGCCGGAACCGGTAAAGTTTAACTATATGATTTTAATACTTCTGTTTATACGAAATTGCCGAATGCGCGGCAATAGAGTTTAACTATAGGATTCCAATACTTCTATAAACAGAAGTATTGGAATCCTATAGTTAAACTCTACCGGTTCCGGCATAAGTTAACAGTTATTACCCGCATAAACTAGGCCTTAACTTTACGATTACGGCATAAGTTACCAGCACCCGGCAATTTCGTATAAACAGAAGTATTAAAATCATATAGTTAAACTTTACCGGTTCCGGCATAAGTTAACAGTTATTGCCCGTATAAACCAGGCCTTAGGCTACGTCTTAGGTAGAGTCTACCGCAGTGAGAAACAGCTGTGTAGAGAACATTGTAAAGAAAAGAACATCTAAGGAGCAATAAAAGATATTTAAGTAAGTTCAACAGTAGAACTTGTTCTTCTCACCGACCAACCTCCTCGACATCCAACAAATTTTGGTGGCAGCGGTGGGATCTCTCATTCCGTGTGTCAAGGACGGGACTCTGCAGGAGATTCCGGTTGGATCAAAGAAACGGACGCCGGGTGAGAAAGAAAAAAAAAGAAAAACGATTGAGTTTAATCCAAGGGGTGTATTAAAAAAATATATATACAGGGGTTAGACAAAATAATATGAACACCTGACATATACACAATATTTATTTATTAATAAGGTGTTGGGCTACCATTTGCTTGTAGAACAGCTGCAATTCTTCGCGGAATAGATTCGTAGAGTGTCTGAATAGTTTCCAACGGAATATTGTCCCATTCTTCTACCAAAGCATCCGCCAATTACTTCAATGATGTTGGAGATGGAAATCTGCTTCTTATTCTCTGCTCTAAAACTCTCCACAACGGTTCAATTATGTTGAGGTCTGGCGATTGTGCTGGCCAGGGAAAATGTTTGATGATATTCTGATGCTCCTCAAACCAAGACTGAATCTTTTTGGTTGTGTGTATGGGCGCATTATCATCTTGGAATATGGCAGTGTTTGGCAGTAGTATGCTAGTCATAGTAAGAACTTTATCATCGAGGATGTCGAGATATTCATTTGCAGTAATCTGGCCAGTAATGTGAATGAGAGGACCAGCTGAATACCACGATATAGCCGCCCAAATCATAACGGAACCTCCCTCATGTTTAACTGTAGGAAGCAGGCAGTCCGGATCGTAGGTTTTTTTTAGGGTTCTCCATACATAAACCCGACCGTTAGTAGGAAACAATGTGAACAATGATTCATCGGACTATACCACATTCTTCCAATCATCAAATGTCCAGGTTTTATGATCGTGGCACCACTTCTTTCGCAGCTTAGCGTTGACTTCCGTTATAAGGGGCTATACAATTGCAGCCCTTCCATGAATGTTAGCTTTGTGAAGCTCCCGCCGTACTGTTTTTGTTGAAACAGTATTACTCAGGTGAGCGTTGAGTTCTGCTGTCACTTTTGCCGCGGTAGTTTTATGTTGTCTGGCCACAATCCTTTTTAATGTTCG